GATGGAGGGATGGAGGGATGGATGGAGGGATGGATGGAGGGATGGATGGAGGGATGGAGGGATGGATGGAGGGATGGATGGAGGGATGGATGGAGAGATGGAGGGTTGGATGGAGGGATGGATGGAGGGATGGATGGATGGACGGACGGACGGGTGGTGGGTGGATGAATGGAGTGAGTGAGTGAGCGAGTGACTGAGTGAGTGGCTGAGAGAGTGTGTGAGCAAACCTCAGCCCTCCTTCGGTGGGAGCGGCGCGCCCCACAGGGGTCACTGCGCGCCCCGGGGGCGGGAAGGGGGCGCAGGCGCGGCGGGCGCCGAGGCCCTCCTCTGGAGGGGGGCGGGGCGGACTAGAGGCGGGGTTAGGGAAAGGGACGCGAACACCAGCCAAACTTCCGGTGCCTGCAGAGCGGGGAGCGGCGGTCGCCCAGATCGCGGCTGCTCGGGCAGAGGCTGCACGGGCAGAGGCTGCAGGGCGGACGCGCGGCCGGGCGCAGCCATGGTGAAGATCAGCTTCCAGCCCGCCGTGGCCGGCATCAAGGGCGACAAGGCCGATAAGGCTTCGGCCGCGGCCCCGGCCCCGGCCGCCGAGATCCTGCTGACGCCCGCTCGGGTAAGAGGGGCCGGGGGGGGGGTGTCTCAGGCTGGAGTCGGGGGGGCGAGGCGCGCCCCAACGGCCCCGGGAACTGTTCGAGTCGCATCGGGGTCCCGGAGCCGTGACCGGAGGGAGTGAGGGTCCGGAATGGGCCTTCCATCCCAAAGTGGGGAGAGGGCTTGGGTCCTCTCCTAAAGCGGCAGCCGAAAGCAAAAGTCCAAAGAGTGGGAGGGGTCCGAGTCGCTGGTCCCCAGGTGGGGAAGCGCTCGAGGTCTCTTCCCAAAGTGGAGGGGCCCTAAGCGGCTGACCCCAAGACTGGGGAAGGGGCCGGTAAGAAGTTGGAGGAATGCTGGTGGAGGGTAAGCGTCTGTTTCTAATCAAGGCGGAGGGGCCGAGAGTCGAACCCCAGGTGGGGGATGGGAGGAGGGTTGGACGTTGTTTCCTCAAAGTAGGGAGATGGGTCAGGATTGGTGGGGAATGGCTGGGGGGAGGGCGGGGGGGGAGAGAGTCCGGTGCCAACGAAGGGGGAGGGGCCGTTGATTTCGTCCCAAACGGGGGGCTGCGGGGGGCGGGGAATGTGCTGCTGGTCTGCACCTGAATTGGTGGACCAGAAAATGGAAATAAACCAGAACCGGCCGGGCTGCATGTCTGGGATTGAGGTTTGAGGTTCGAGGTTCGAGGTTCTAAGGCTCTAAGGCCAGGTGCCCAGATCTCACCCCACCCCCTGCCGTCTGGACCTCCCTGCTCCCCTCTTCCTTCCCCTCCGGGCTCTCGCTCTGGTCAGCCCCCTCCATCCCGCAGGGAGGCTCCCCCACTGCTCCGGTGCCCTCCCGCATCCCGGAGGCTCTTTGTGGGGGCGGGCCTCGGTGCACTCCGCCCCCTCTGGCGTCCTCCCCCTTCCCGCCGGCCGGGGGGAGAGAAGGCATTTCCGCCAGTGGAAAACTGTCTGAGCTGCGTGGAGTCTGACCCGGAGAGGGCAGGACGCGTGGCGGGCGGGGAGGGGAGGAGGTCCAGCCAGGCTGTATTGTGCTCCAGCAAAGGTGTCCACGTAGCCCTAGTCTCTGGCGGTCTTGGGGTGCACCAAGCGGTCGCATCTAGACTGGACTTGCAAAGTCTTTGTCCACTCCCCTTCTCTGCCCGCTGCGGGCTTCTGATGACTCTTTCTCAGCGCCAGGGTCCTTCCTCAAGTTTTGTGGCTCAGATTCAACCTTGCCCGGAGTATTACGGGGTGGGGGGGCGGTGTGTGTGCAGGCGGAGAAAGAGGGGACACTTGAGAGGGGCCTCAGAGGTGGGTGGTGTCACATCCCGAGCAAAGACCCTGAGTGAGGAATGCACCGAGGAGCCCTCCCCTGTCCGGATGTGGTCACTGCATCATCCAGGACCACCTGGGCTGGGTTGGGGGTTGCTATGCACACCCAGCCAGAGCAACTCCATCTTCATCCAATGTTAAATGGGCAGGGGGCATTCCATATTTGAAGACCATGGTCTGCAGCTTTAAAAGTTTGCAAGGGTCTCTTCAAGCTCGCTTCCTTCCTTCACCAAGGAACCAGCTTCCTCTGCTCCTCTCAGCCCAGGGAGGGAGCAGGGCTGGGACCTTACCTCTTTCTTCTCCCAGGGCCTGCTCCCCAGCTCAGGCCTGGAATTCAGACCCTGCCTCTGAGGGCTGTAGGATTCCAGCAGAAGGGAGGACCAACCAGGCAGTAGGAGGATGTAATTCAAACCCTGAGAAGGTCCACCAGATTTCACAGGAGTGGCACATTCTCCATGCCAATGGCGTGGGGCTGGATGGCAGGTGCCCGCATCACCTGGGTAGTAACTGATATCCAGCTTCTGGCACTGAAAGCCAGCATCTTCTCTTCCCCCTCACCCAGCGTGAAATGGAAATACCAACATCTTCCCGGTGCTGTTTGTAATGGCCGTGAGCCTGCCTCCCAAACCTTGTTAGTTGCACAGGGTCCCCTGGCTGTCTTAATTTGGCACGGAGTGGGAGGATTAAAATCCTGGTACCTCTAGGACAGAACTGCGTATCAGTAAATGATCATAGCCCTGAGGTGATAACAGAGGGGGCTTTGGATGTTCCGTGTCAGTTCTGCCAGTCGCCTACTGGAATTGGAGGGGGTGGGGGGAGAGTTCACTGCTCTGGGCCTATTGTGCCCTCACCTGGCCAAGGGGCACATTCTCGTGTCCAGTAACCAGAGTGTGGATGGAGCCTCCCTCTCCTGCCTCTGGCGGTGAGCACAGCAGGTGTCAAGCATTCAGACAGAGGGCCACCATTTAGTAGGGCACTGAAGCAGATGGTGGGTGGACTGGGAGGCCCAGCCTTCTCCTTTATCAAGACAGAGCATTTGAGGTTTGCCCAATGCTGATGGGGACACAGAGGAAGGCTTATTAGAAGGTTTCTTCTGGCTGAAGGGGACCTGAGAACCCTCCTTGGTTACTGAGCTGGGCTCAAAAATCAGATATAAAGCCCTGGAAGGAGCACTTGGGGAATGAGCCTGTGAATGCCCTCAGCAGTGAGCTGCCCTGTGGCTGTTCCATGAAAATGTCCACCTGCGTGCAGCCCCTGGGGGCCAGGGTGAGGCAGAGCAGCACCCTCACGGCGGGGCTCCCCCCTGCCTCTGAACAAAAACTCAAATACAAGGAGGATTCTGTCCCCAGACCTGCTGCTGGGAGGAAGTGCCTCAGTGGGCCGGGAAGGGATGGGGGTGGGGGCCCAGCTGGGCCTCCAGCTGCCCACCCTCCCCTTGGCGCTTGCCTCGGAGGTAATGAGAAGCCTGTGCTCATGGGCGACTGGCCGGAAGCCAGCCTGGAAAGTGGGCTGGCCGGGAAGCATCCCCTCTTAGCACGCGCTGGCTAGATCCTTCTTCCCCTTTGGAGGCCTACTGGCCAGCCCTGCACCTCTCCACCCAGCTCCACTCTCCCCTCCATCTGCCTGTGCCTGAGTGCACGTGTGCACGCGCGCGCGCGCGCGCGCGCACACACACACACACACAGCCAGGTGTAGGCATGTGCAGACTGGACTGAGCTGGGGGGCTGCAGATGGGCTTGGGGGCCTGCAAGAGGAGAGAGACAGACATGTTCAATACCATCCTCTCTTCAGCGCTGGCTAATTTTCTCCTTGGCTTTGCCTTTGATTAAAGGCTCCTGCGTCGCCCCCTCCCCCGGCCTGCATACCTGGGGATCAGATTTCACTTTCAGCGTCCTGGCCTCAGGCCGTTGGCGGGAGGGAGCTGGGTCTCCCGGAGTGGTTGGGGGAGGGTCCCCTGCCAGCCGGGAAGGCGGGCCTGGCCGGGCGTGGAGTGCTTCTGCCCGAGTACCCCAGTACCCGCTGCCCCAGTGAGGGACCTTTGTAGGAAGGTGCCCCTGCCCCTGGCCCTGCCCCAGGGCAGGGTGGGGGGTGCTTCCGGGCATCCCGTCCCTGGCCTGCCCTGGGCCTTCCCAGGGGGGCTTGCGCTTTTGAACACATCATGATGGCTTTTCTCTTCCCTCTCTATTTCCTTCTCTTTTCTCTTTGCTCTTCTGGGCCGGTCGTTGCATGTTTCAAGGCTGTCAGCGACTGCCAGGGAGGCTGAGTTCCTCGTAGAAAAAAAACTGTTTATGGTAAAATCATGGAAGCGCAGCCTGGCTACCCGCCCCCCCAACACACAAACACACTCTCCCAAGTTTGTCCCCCAGGAGAGCTCTTCCAGCAGCCCGCTTTGCTGCTCATCCTTCGGAGCCTTTGTTCTCTGGAGTCTCATCTTGACTGTCAGGAACCGAATAGACTCAGAGCAGAGGGTGGTGCCTCGGGGTGTTCTCGGGGGTCCATGCGGTTCCTCGCCCGGCGTGAGCCCAAGCCGCCAAGCCACCAAGCCGCACGACAGGAATGAGGTTCCATGACTCCCTGTGGGCACCTACCCAGCAGTCTGGGCCTATTGTGCCCTCACCTGGCCACAGTTCACCCAGTTCTGTGTGCTCCGATGCCCACTCCCCCCAGCCCCACTTGGGCTGTCTGTCTGTCTCTCTCACACACACAACACATTGGTGACCTTGAACCTGTTCTGCAGCCTGGGAAAGCGAGATGCTGAGGGGGAATGAAGCTGAGGAGGGCCAGGCAAGAACCCCTCCCCCTCCAGCTGTCAGCCTGGGCTGCAGCAAGTGCATTTCTGGCTCCCCGCCAACCTCCTCCCAGCAGCCTGCAATTGTAGTTTAATCGGCTTGCAGTTAATTTGGACATTGTTACTGAGGAACTGTAGCTGGGGGGCTCCCCAGGAGCCGTGGGAGTCCGCTGAGTTAATGCTCCAGTTGGCTGGGCTCCCCTTGACCGCTGTGGCCCTGGCTTTGCTCACCCGTTTAATGAGCCATTGCGGGCCTCACTGCAGCGGGTAGGGGAGGCCCAGGCCCCTCTTGGCCCCCGGCCGGCCGGCTCACGTGCCCCACACGAGTGCTCAGCGAGGCACTTTGCTCAGAAAGCCCAGTTGCCTTGGAAACAGTAGGCAGTGTTTTTCTACTTTCTAAATGGAAGCCCCCCCAAAGGCCTGGCTGCTCCATGGGGGAGGGGGTGGCATTTCCCTGGGTCTCCAGCATGACAAGGGAAGCAGCTGGGGGGGGGGGTCTCAGGAAGCAGGCTTCTCCACGGACAGCCAGGAATCCCCAGGTTCTCTGTTGGGTGGTGTGGGGCCCAGTAAGCAGTGACAGCTTCCGGGCAGGATTGAGGGGCCCTCCCTCCTGTGTGGGGCTTGGTGTTTGAAGTCCCTTTTTCCTCGAAGCAGGGACATCCATGGCTCCCCGTCTGCCTCCTGGCAAGCTCTGGTCCTGCTTTGCCTTCCAGCAGGGCGCAGGCTGGGGAGGGGAGCAGGGCAGCTGAGCCTCAGGTGTGCAGTAGGGGGTGGGATCAGGAGCTGTGTTAGCCCCAGACGTGTGAGGGGCATGTCCACTGCACATCTAGAACAGGTGGGGGATCCTCAGCCTTCCTAGTGACCCCCACAGAGTAAGGACGCAGGGTGGTATCCAGGGGACCCCCTAGAGGCCGTTTTCTCCTCAGCTACATAGCCACCCCCATGCCCACCCCCTCCCCAGGCCCTTAAAAACACCTCCCCCAGCCAGAAGCAGAAAGGCCACATTAAAACCGCCTTAAAAACCAGAGGCCTCCTTGTCTGTGAACCTTAGCCGAGGAGCAGGCTCTGAGGCCCCCCTCCCGAGGCTCTCTCGCTTGTGGCCCATTGACTTTGTTTTGTTTTGTTCTTTTTTAAAAACAGTTCTCACAAGCTTGCCTCTCTGGTTTTCCTGAATGCAGGAGCGAAAGCATGGCCAGTGTGCAGCCTCAACAGCTGTCCAGGGCCTTGGCCCTGCAAAGGAGAAGCTCAGCTGAGAAAGATCTGCTATTTTTATCTAGCACTTCATCCTTGACAAAGGGCTTTCAGGTTCTTTGTCTCCTTTAATCCCTGCGACTTCACATTTCCAGAGAGAAGCTGGCGGGTGGGGGTTGCAGTGCTTCCCTAGGGGGGGATCCTAGTCCCTGCTGGGGCCCCTCTCAACTTCCAGTGACCGCTCACCCCACTGCACCAAAATGTCCCTCCCCAGGGGCAGGATCCACAGCTGGTGCAGGCGGCCTGGCCTGTCTCCCAGGTCAGCCATGGTTCTTTGGGACCCACTCAGGACTCTGGAGGAGCAGAAAGGCCACCACCTCATCTGCAGGAGCCCCTGGGTGGCTTGCTCCTCGTGGGCCCCCCCTGTGACAGCAGCTGTCCCCATGGGACCTTGGTTAGGAACCCCAGGGTACCGAGCAGATGCCAGCCAGGCGGGTGCCTCTCTGGTCTTGATCACAGGCCCCCCGCAGCAGGGCTGAGTTGGTGGGAGCCCCAGCGCTCAGCTGGTGAGTTTGAGGCAGTGGGTTTGGCCTCCCACCCCTGCCAGGTGAGCTCCCTGGAGGGCAGACGGGGGTGTTGGGGAGCAGGATGGGCCAGGGCACCTCTCTGTCCCATGGTGCAGAGTCTGGGGGCTGGCTGGTCTGGTGATGGATGTGCCCAGGGAGGGGGAGGGGCCTCCAGGGGCTTTTGTCCTTTTCCTGGGTATGGGTGAGTGGGAGAGCCCCAAGCAGGGAGGCATTTGCCCCTCTGATGGTACTCCCCATTGCTCCCCGAGGCCTGGGCTCCATGCCCCACCCCGAGGCCAGGCCCCCCGTGCTGAGATAAGGGCCTATCTGTCCGAGGTAACTAGGACCTGAGCTGGGTCCCCAGCCCCCAGAGTAAAGGGAGAGAGGACACATGGCACAAAGCGGGCTAAGCAGGCAGTTCGTGGCCCCTGTGGAGTGAGAAGCTTCTGGCCTCCAGGCAGGAGCTCCTTCCCTTCCCCCACTCTGCCTCAGCTCCTGGAGGCTGGGGGGTCTTTGGGATTGGACTCTGCCCTCACCCTGACTGTATCTGGACCCCATGGAGGAGGGATTGAATGGGGACAGTGGTGGCAGAGGCAGACCTGGGTTCCTGCAACAGCTCCCAGGATAGGTGAGGGCCTGGGTTCGGGCCGGGGGGCGGGGGGGCCGGGGGTGGGGCACGAACAGACATGAGAGATGGCCCAGGTCACCCAGCTCCTGAAGAGCCTGAATCATGACACTCTCAGGCCAGAGCTCTGGGTGAAGCAGTGAGATCGACACACACACCGTGGTCCACCAGCCCAGACGTGTGTGCCCGGAGTAAGGTCCGTTTGACTTACAGCTGCTTCGCAGCCCCGAGGCTACTGCCGTGAGCCCGTCTGGCTCCCCAGAGCAGATTTTTTCCAGGAGCCTCCTGCCCTGGCCTCTCTGACAGCAGCCACTGCCACCGCGGCCACATTTCCCTCCTGGCAGAAGTGCCCCGGCTTCCGGAAGCCTCCAGACTTCACCCTTCAGGCTCCACTCCTGACAGCCTGCTTGACACTGCCGGGGGCCGTGGCTGCTCCCCGGCAGGTGGGGCTGTGCCCGGCGGGGGTCGCAGGCTCAGGGCTGCCTGGCCGGAGGGAGACCAGCGCCGTGCCCGGACCCCGGGGGCTTCCTGGGACCTCTGTCTCCCTCAGCCAGTGACCATTCCCTGCCACAGCCTTCCTGGTGGAGCCCAGAAGCCACCTCCCACTGCCCCGGTTCCTGTCCACCCTGTGCACTGCCACCTTTGGGTGGATCCGAAGCCTTCCCTGGCTCCCCATTGCTCAGAGCAGCAGCTCCCCAGTGCACCCCAATTCCTACAGGTTCCTGGGTCTGGTGCAATCATTCAGGCCGTGTCTCTGCTTCCCCCATTCTGTGTTTGAGAGAGTGACACTGTAGTCACAGCTGGGATAATGAAGAGGACGAGGGGCCTGGCTGATGCAGATGGGCCTGCTCCCAGGGGCTCATTCTGCGTGGCTTCGATGTGGATCTCAGTTTATCTTTACCTGGGAGGAGACCGGAGAGGCCCTGACAAGGCATTCCTTCCAGATGATGCTCTGTGTCCTCATCATGCCCCCCCCCCACTTGTCCCAAGGCTCAGTCCCTGCCCCCAGGGTGAGGTCTCCTTTGGGAAAGGGACGGGAGGATTCTGGGAGGTACGGGACCACCACCTGGCTGAGCCGGCCCTGCAATCCACAGGAGGAGCGGGCCCCCCCGCAGCGCTGCAAGAAGGGGAGCTCTGTAGGCGGCGTGTGCTACCTGTCAATGGGCATGGTCGTGTTGCTCATGGGCCTCGTGTTCGCCTCCGTCTACATCTACAGATACTTCTTCCTTGCACAGGTGAGGCCATTCGGGAAGGGAGGCACGGGGCTCAGGGAAAGGTGCTGTTTAGAGGGACTTGCAGGGATGTGGTGGGAGCGGCTGAGAGCCAGGTGCTTGGGGCTTGTGCGGGGAGGGGTGGCAGGTGACCTGCCCCCGGGTGGGAGTGGGTGCCCAGCCAAGCCCAGAAGCCCTGCATGCTCCCTCCATGGGGCCTCCCTGGGCACGCGCCAGCCTACCTGGCCCCTTGCCTGGAGCGGGGAGCAGGGCCCCATCTTCTGACTCCCATGGACCCTGGCAGACTGCCCTCATCTGCCTTCAGACCCAGCTGACGCCCAACCGGGAACTCTTCCAGGAGCACAGTTAGCAGTGGGGGACCCGGGATGGGAATCTGTGGCCCCTTCCCACACTGTCACCCTGGAGGGTTTTCACCAGAACCTCAGATCCAGCAGAAATCGGAACTCTGTGATCCCTCTGGAGCCGGACCCTGTGCCCAGGGGTCATGCTTTAAGAATTTGCGCTCCTCGGACGTTTATTTGGATTATAAAGCAAGGAAGGTAGACAGTGGGTTAATGGACAGACCCACCAGCACCTCCTCCTGCAAGGGGTGGCCTCCACCCATGCTGGCACCCCAGTTAGGTGCTCACACTGCCAGTCGGGGCCTGCAGCTGGCAGGAGAACCGGTCATGGTCACGGTGACCTTGTGATCAGTCCAGACCTGGGACGGGAGACGGTGCCACCAAGGTAGTTCAGTTAAAGCTCAAAGGAATAATCGTTAAGTGCAATGCACGGGGAATTTCTGAGTGACAGAGAAGCTGGGAATTGCCAGTCACGTGAGACCAAGTGACCTCTTCCCACCCTCAAGCAATGATTTTTAGCTTTGTTACTTTGTTTTTGCCGTGATGGAAATTACTGAAGAGTTTTTGTATTCCATGTGACTTTTCCCTGGAAACCTCAGCTCCCACACACCTGCCGACTTCCCTTTTGTTTGGCATGTCCCCCCACCTCTTCCCATCTTCCCCCTCCCGCGGGCCCTTCCTGAGCACCCTAGGGGCCTTCCTGCTCTAGCTCCTGGTCCCCTCTCTTCCCAGCCCCAACTTGTGCTCTCCTGGGGCTCCTCACCCCACCCCACTTGCTGGGAAATGGGCGCACCTCAGAGCAGCCTCCGAGTCTGTGCCCTGGTCAGTATGATTCATGTGTGATGATTCATCCCCCTGGGAGAGCTCACACGAAAACAGAGAAAGGGCAGTTCTGCCGATGGCAGGCCAGTAGTCTGCGCACAGATCTGAGGGCCCCTGGAGAGGGACGAGGTGGGCACATTGGTCCACGTGCTCAGCCGCTTGGCCTCAGTCATGTCACATGCCTCCCCACCCTTGATGAGGGGGCGATGCGGCTGGCTGTTCACACAGGGGCTCAGTGTTTGTCAGGACTGCTCAAGGGGCACAGGGTCCAGGGAAGGTAGTGGGACCTGTGTGAGGTTGGACGCGGAGCTGCCTCCTGGACACCCCACAGGGACCCACAGTTCAATCTGGGGCTCCTGTGTTTGCCCCTGAGAGTCAAGGAAGTTGTCCACCTCGGACCCAGCAGAGCCGGCTCAGCCTCCCTCTCCCTGACCCCCCATGTTTCTCAGTTTCTCCATCTGTGAAATGGGTTTCATTGTCCCACCCTTCCCGCTTGCCAAGGCCCTGGGGTCGTGGCGCGGTGGGGTCAGCAGGGTGGCTGTGCCAAGGGCGCTGTGTGACCAGTCTGTCTCTCTCTCCAACCTCCCCCCCAGCTGGCCCGAGACAACTTCTTCCACTGTGGGGTTCTCTACGAGGACTCCCTGTCCTCCCAGGTCCGCACGCGGATGGAGCTGGAGGAGGACGTGAAGATCTACCTCGAAGAGAACTATGAGCGCATCAATGTGCCGGTGCCCCAGTTCGGCGGCGGTGACCCCGCAGACATCATTCATGACTTCCAGCGGGTGAGGCCGGCCGGGGCTGGGACAGGAGTGGTGGAAGGGTGTCCTGAGGACCCAGAGCCCCCCTTCCACCAGGGGTCATGAGAAAGGAGAACAGGAGCGAAAGGAGAAGGCCAGTGTCCCTAGTACCTCCTTTGAGTATGTACTGTGTAATGGCAAGTATGCGTAGTAGATGGCGGGTTAGGTTGCTCAGGATTTTAAAGACCCTGCTTTTGTTATAGAGGCAGTGTTTATCACTGAACGTGAGCCAGCCATGGTGGATTTTCTCCTCGGCCACCTGACCGCTGCAGACACTGGCCATCACGGGCCAGGCCAGTATTCCTTTTAACTGGGTATTTTGTGTTGACGTTTTCCGGAGGTGTGGCATTCCTGCCATCAAGTGCATTAAGTGTACAGCTTGGTGGATTTTGCCAGAGGCTACCTGCAGTGCCACCCAGATCAAGACTTGGAATTTTGCCAGCACCCCAGAAGGTTCCCTTGTGCCCCTCCCCCCAGTCCATAGCCCCTCCCCAGAGGTAACCATCCTTTGCACTTCTTTTTTTTTTTAGATTTTATTTATTTGAGAGAGAGCACGAGCAGGGGTGGGGGAGGGGGGGCAGCGGGAGAGGGAGAAACAGACTCTCTGCCAAGCAGGGAGCCCACAGGACTCGATCCCAGGACCCCCGAGACCATGACCTGAGCAGAAGGCAGCCGCTTAACCGACTAAGCCCCCCTCAAAACTGTCGCACTTCCGTTGCCAGCAACAGTTTTAAGGCTAGTGAAACACAGACTCCCCAGCTGTCTGTCCCCCGTACTTGCTTCCCAGAGCTTCCTCGGGATTCTCCAGAAGGATCCCTTCGCTCTGTATCCTGGACATTCTTGTCGCTGAAGCCCCCAGGGAGCCAGGGATGCAGCATCCCTTGCTGAGGGCCAGGCTGTCCGCAGGGTTGACAGGACCTCACAGGGGTGATGAAGTGCGCACTTGGAACATTACTGTCTTCCCCACACCTCAGCTCTGTGACCCCAGAGAAGGGCCCTTATAACAGCTGAGGCGCTGGACACTTGGTGTTTTTCATGTAGTGCATGGAAGCTCCCACAGACACGGGCGAGGCGAGGCGAGGCGCAGGAATTGGGGGCGCGTGACACTGGCACGGCGGGCTGGTGGCTCTGGTGGCCCGAGGGGCCCGCCGGGGCCAGGCGCTCACCTGCAGAGCCTGACACGGCCCCTCCTCCCGCTCAGGGGCTCACCGCCTACCATGACATCTCCCTGGACAAGTGCTATGTTATCGAGCTCAACACCACCATTGTGCTGCCCCCCCGAAACTTCTGGGAGCTCCTCATGAACGTGAAGGTGAGCAGGAGCCCTCGTGGCATCTCGCGGCGCTCCCCCGTGGACGCCAGGCCTGGGGCAAGGGAGGGTCCTGCGGTGGGAGTGTTGCTGTCAGCTGGGCCCAGCACCCCAGATTGGCCCCTGCTCCTCCATCTTCCTTCCCCCACGCCCAGAGTCAACGCCCCTCCTTTTCTTCTCCCTACCGTGCTCTGCCTCCCTCCCTCTCTCACGAAGAGCCCAGCTTCCTTAGCCCCCTAGGCCATGCCCCGCCCCCCGGTGGCAGTGCAGGGAACCCCTCCCCGGGCAGCACTCCCCCCCTTGGGGAGGGAGACCAGACTCCCCCACATGCAGCACCAGGACGTAACCAGAAACTGCCCGGGCGCGTCCGAAGGGCGAGCCCCGGCGGCTGTGGATGGGGAGGCGGGCGGGGGTGGATGGCACTTCAGGTGGCGGGGACTCCGAGTGAGCAGGACAGCAGTGAGGGGAGCGGGCGGGGGGCAGGGGAGCCCGAGGTGGGAGAGCCGTGCATGCTGACCCGGCCCTGCGGCTGCCCCCTCCGCAGAGAGGGACCTACCTCCCGCAGACGTACATCATCCAGGAGGAGATGGTGGTGACGGAGCACGTCAGCGACAAGGAGGCCCTGGGCTCCTTCATCTACCACCTGTGCAGCGGGAAGGACACCTACCGGCTGCGGCGCCGGGCCACCCGGAGGCGTGAGTGGCCGGCCCCACCCATCGGGGCCCCTGCCCTGAGCTCTGGGCCACAGCCACCACCCCCCCATGCCCGGCCGGAGCTCAGACCATAGCCGTACTAGCAGCTCGTGGTGACTCAGCACTTCCCACGGGCCAGGCCCAGGTTCGCGCGCCTTACGTCCTTCCCAGAGCCTGTAAGTTGTCGTCATCCTCATTGTTACTCTTGCTGCCCCTCGAGAGGTGAGGAAACGGAGGGACAGAGGGGTTAAGTGACACCCCTGAGGTCACACAGCAGGGAAGGTGCCAGAGCTGGGCAGTCTGACTCCAGCTCTTGAGCTCTCTCGCCCCTTCGGTGCACTGCCTCCGGGTGAGTCTGGGTGTCATCTCCTGGGCCACCCCTTCCTCCCCTCGCGCCCTCCCCCTCTCAGGGTCCTGAGGTCCCCCTGGTAGCCTCCGTGGCCCAGCCAGCACCGGGCCGGGACACAGTCCTCACTGAGATTCTCTCTTCCCTCCCAGGGATCAACAAGCGAGGAGCCAAGAACTGCAACGCCATCCGCCACTTCGAGAACACCTTCGTGGTGGAGACCCTCATCTGCGGGGTGGTGTGAGGACCGCCCCCTCCAGGCCCCACCCCTGCCCTCTGCCGTGTTTCTCTTCTGGCCACTCTGGCTGTCCTCTTTCCCCTCGCTTAGCTTGTACTTTGGACACCTTTCCATAGATGTGACGTGTCTCCTGGTTCCTTTCTAGCCCTGCCCACCTCCCCGTACCAGAGCCGTGACCTCTCGAGGCCCCACCTCTTCCGAGCTCCCGGGTCTGGGGGACAGGAGGGCGCCACCGGGTGGTTGCCGGGGCCGGCCCCCAGCTGCTCTGGCAGCCCAGGGGAAGGGCTGGACAGAGGGGCCAGGCTCGTGGGGGCCCTGGGCGAGGGGACAGCCGGGGATGGGGTGTGGGGCTCAGAAATGTCTGCACAGCTGCGGAAGTCCCACAAGGCTTGTTCCTTGGACAGTCCCATGTCCAGATTCCCAGATCTGGGCTGAGGATGGGGGAGTGTGCCCAGGGATGGACCCACCCAGAGCACAAGGAAAGATGGGGTCCTGGGGCTCCCCCCCCAGGGCTCTTGTCAGTGCCTTCAGCCCACCAGCGGGAGCCTGGAGTGAGGGGTGGGGATCAGTCTGTCAAGCACAATCGTTCTCCGAGTGGAACCAAAGAAGGGAGGAGCCAGGGCCCCCCTGGCCCCGGCCCCACCCCAGGAGCACAAGCACGGGGGGTCCTGCGGCCATGGCCACGGGGATGGGACAGAGGGAGGCCACTCTCACCTGTCAGCGGGCAGCCCTGCGGGGCTGAGCGCTGAGCAGAGCCAAGGGGGTGGGCTCGCTGCTTTCTCCAAGCTTGGAGCTGTTTTAGAAGATAATGTGGGGGAAAGGGAGAGCCACCTGGTACTTGTACACCCTGCCGCCTCCTCGTTCTGAAATTCCGTCCCCCTCGGCTTTGGGGGAATGCAGCCTTTTTTTCCTTTTCCTTCTCACTTTTGCATGTTTTTACTGATCATTCAATATGCTAACCGTTCTCAGCCCTGAGCCTTGAAGAGGAGGTTTCGACGCCTCCGTCAGACTTAGGTGCTCTCTGGAGATGAAACTCTTAAACGCTTTGTATATTTTCTCAACTAGATCCCTTTTCAGAAGTGTCCATAGAACAATAAAAATCTTTGACTTCTGACTTGGACTTGGGAGCAGCGGGGAGGGTTGGGCAGAGGTGGGGCCGTTGCCGGGTTCAGCCAAGGAGGGTCCGTGTCCCCCCAGTCCTCACACCTCGTCGAGCCAAGTAGATTCACATTTTTACAGGAAGGAGGAAGAAGGGGTTTGGAGACCGGAAGTAACTTGCCCAAGGTCATGCTGCTTTCAGGTGCCCATAAACCACCCCATTTAGTTCCACACGGAAGATGACATCATTATTGCTTGTCCTTAAGCACAAGGACGATGTAGTGTTCCACACAATTTCGAGGCAATTAGTAACCATCCCGGTGGTCTGAGCTGAGGCTGGCATGAGTCACAGGGTCGCATTCTGCAGGGAAGGAGGCGATGGGAGAGCCAGCCCAGAGCTTTGGCCGGGTGGACCCCAGAGGCGGGACCTGGGGCGACTGTGGGTGCCTATGCCCTTGCAGCTGGTCTGGCTCAATAATCCTGTGAGGGACATAAATGACTCAGGTTAGTGCAGACACACCTTGTTCTCAAAGGCAGTCTTGCCCAGACGTCAGTCTACATGCAATGCAATCACAATTAAAACACTGATAGGATTTATTGTTTAACTTGACACAGTTCTTTTGGGAAAGTCAATATGGGGAAAGGTCTGGTAAATCCTCAGAAGGGGAAAGAACAGCCTTCAGGTATTAAGCGTTATAAATTACCATAATTAAGAGGTTACAGGTAGCAAAGGAGAAGGTCAATAGGACAATGGAGGGCCTGGAAATTGGGTTAAATATAGGGAAATTTAATGGGGGCACGTGTGGGTTCTTTTTAATGGCTAGCCATTTTGACAAAAATTAACCTGGATCCTACTTCCCTGTAACATTAATTCTGGATAGACCAAAGTTTTTAAGGATGATATGAAGCCATAAAAGTACTTAAGAGGGGCGCCTGGGTGGCTCAGTCGGTTGAGCGTCTGCCTTCGGCTCAGGTCATGATCCCAGGGTCCTGGGATCGAGCCCCACGTCGGGCTCCCTGCTCAGTGGGAAGCCTGCTTCTCCCTCTCCCTCTGCCTCCCCCCTGGCTTGTGTTCGTGCTCTCTCAAATAAAATCTTTAAAAAAATAAATAAAAGTACTTAAGAAATGATTTAAAGGAATTTTAGAGCAGGGAAAACCTAAGCCTGATACCCACCAGTTACGACTTGACTATGGAAAACTAATTTATGTGCAGCCAAACACCACAAAGTCAAAAGATCTGTAAGGGGGGCAAACTGGGGGAGATGCTTTTGAAACCTAGGACATAGAAAGGGCTGTTTTCCTCAATATGCAACGTTCTTATAAACGGGGCACCTGGGTGGCTCAGTTGATTAAGCGACTGCCTTTGGCTCAGGTCATGATCCTGGAGTTCCAGGATCGAGTCCCGCATCGGGCTCCCTGCTCAGCAGGGAGTCTGCTCCTCCCTCTGACCCTCCCCCACTCATGTGCTCTCTCTCTCTCTCATTCTCTCTCTCAAATAAAATAAATAAAATCTTTAAAAAAAAAAATCATGAAACATGAACAACCCAACGGGTAAATAGGCAAAGACTATGAACAGGCGGTGAAGAGTAAGGGAAACACAAGTGGGTCATTGCTTAAACGTGAAAAGATGTTTAATTGCAGTTGTTTTTATTAAATATTTTACACTGTGAAGCATTTACTACATATAAAATGCTGCATATAAATCACAAGGATGTAAGTGATGAAGCCTCATGACCAGTGTGTATCTGGAGACCAACCACCAACCTAATGAAACAGAAGACTGCCAATATTGCTGATTTCCTCGTATGCACCTCTCCATTTGCTGCTAACAAACCACCACCCAGACTTAATGGCCTCACACAGCAGTTTGCTATTTTTCCTGGTTCTCAGGGATGGCTGAGTTTGGCCAGCTCTCAGGAGCGGCTCACTCCTGCTTTGCATTCAGCTGGGTGCTTGGCCGCACTCCCCATCCAAGGTGCCCCTCCCCTCCCACGCCTCACTCAGCACGGCCTCCAACCAATACCCTGGCCTTCCTTAGAGTTTGGCAACCAAGCCCCAAGCCAGAGGAAGCCAGAGGCTTTAGACCTCTTAAAGCCTGGAATCCAAAGTTCCAGAATGTTCTTTCCTTGCATTGTTGGTCAAAGCAAGTCACAAAACCAGCCCTGACTTAAGTGGAAGGGAAGTAGACCACCTCTAGATGGTGGGAGAAGTGTTCATGCTCAGGGATGCAGGGAACGTTGGCTCCCATGTTCAGAGACCCCCCCCCCCCCCGCCACATATCCCAGCCCCTCCCCTCCATACTCTTCCCTCCATATCCTGTGCAGGACATTAAGGAAACATCTGTTCTTAGGTCTAAAGACAACCATGAAAATATGTCACTTTTCCATGTTAGCCAATCTCTATATTGATTAGTCAATCCAGGCTAATTAATAATGCCTATTCTGAGTTTCTCTGCTTTGCTTTATAATTCTACCACATACTTATGAACTCCTAGTGTAGTTTTACTTGGATGTGAACATTATTAAAAAGTCATAAAATACATGTCTTATTCTCTGACTTGCCTCTTCACACAACCTTTTATTTCTAGGAGTCATCCATGTTAATGCCTATATTATTTAATTTATTTATACGGCTGTATATCAGTCTATTATGTGAATCTGCAATTTAACTACCTACCCATCCTCCTAACAATGAGCATTTGGGTTCTTTCCAATTTTTTACCATTATAACAATGCTTTAAAGAACATCTCTTTTACAAGGCGTCCGGTGCACCTGTGCAAGGGAAGTGGCATATGGGGTCACAAGTAAGCAAACGTTCAACTCACAAAATTCTGCCATACTGTTTTTTTATAAGGAATTGAACCAATTTACATTCCCACCTGTGCTGCGTAAGTGTTCTCCTTGTTCTACAACCTTGTCAACACTTAATGTTAACAAACTTTGGGGTTTTGTTTTGTTGTTTTTTTTTTGCCAGTGGACTGAGGGTAAAATGGTATTTCATGATGGTTTTCATTTTCACTTTCCTGATTACTAGGAAAGTGGGACAAGTTTCATATGTGTATTGGACCCTCAAATTTCCTTTTCTATAAAATGCCTGTTTGTGTTCTTGGGGCACCTGAGTGGCTCAGTCGGTTAAGCATCTGACTCTTGATTTCGGTTCACGTCACGATCTGGGTTCAGCTCCTGGGATCTGAGATTGAGGCCAATGCTAAGCAAGGAGTCTGTTTGAGGATTTTCTCCCTCTGCCCCTCCCCCCACTCACACACGCAGTCTCTGTATCTCTCTCATACATACAAATAAATAAATCTTTAAAAATAAATAAATAAAATGCCTTTTTGTGTTCTTTGGCCTATTTTTCTATTGGATACTTTGTTTTCTCCTTATTGACTTGTAGGAGTTCTTTATATATTTATGTATCTTACATAATCTTTATGTGTTTTGTCACTGGTGTATGGCAAATATCTTACCCAAATTTATGACTTGTCTTTCTCACTTTCTTTTTTGTTTCTTTGATGAACAGAAACTATTGGTTTTAATGTAGTCAAATTCATCCATCTTTTTCTTTATGATTTTGGCTTATTGTACTTGTTTCAGAAATCCTTCCTATCCCAACACTGAAGAGACTTTATCTTATATTTTCTTCTAATCCTTAAGGATTATTTTATAATCCTTCTAATGTGTTGTATATTACATTTAAATATTCCCTGGAAGTTATTCCCTGGTATGGTGTGAGGTAGGGATAACCATTTGTTCTGTTTTTGTTGTTTTCTTTTCCCCACTGAGTTGCAGTGTGTGTCTACAATGATCAAGTTTCCCTATGTGTAAGGTCTATTTCTGTTCTGTCCTATTAGGTCTATCCTTTGGACCATAATCACACTTTTAAAAAGTCCAGATATATGGGGCACCTGGGTGGCTCAGTCGGTTAAGTGGCCTGCCTTTGGCTCAGGTCGTGATCCTAGGGTCCTGAGCTCGAGCCCTGCATCGGACTCCCTGCTCAGCGGGGAGTTTGCTTCTCCCTCTCCCTCTGCCTGCCGCTCTGCCTGCTTATGCTCTCTCTCTATCTCTCTGTCAAATAAATAAATAAAATCTTAAAAAAAAAAAAGTCCAGATATCTGGTAGTGCAAGTCTCCTACCTTGATTTTCTCCAGCAGCGCCATGCCTATTCTCAGCCCTTTCTTTTCA